GAAAGGAGAACAATGGCGGTTTTCCACAGGTGGAAGAACTCCTTGGGGGACCAATAAATTAAAAAGGGTGTAATAGGACTGCAAGGGCGACTGATGAAATGTTGTAGCATACGAAAAATGAATGCCCCGGGCCCACTCCCGATGATCGACAACTGAAGTGTTGCCCCAGTTCTTGAAGTGAAAAAGGGCACTTTATACTGTTCTTCTCTGAGAGAAAAAAAGTCCAAGGGTGCTAACTCTCTGCGACTTTGAGGAAAGAAAATGGGGGGGCATAGATGGAGTCCCTGAGAAATACGGCCCAATGATTCCCAAAATTTTTTGGGCAACTTTTAGTGGGTTTGCTATAAAACCCCGGCAACCCCAAAACAGGAGCCGGGTCAGGAGAATATTTATCACTCATTTTTCGTATTTTTTTTCCAGACTGAAACTCATAGAGGAAGCGAGGTGAGGGGAGAATAATCTCGCCAGCAAGTGCTTTTAGCTCCGGATGAAAGGGGCGACGATCGCACCTTCTTTTTAAAATAAGGAGTCGCTCTGGGGTTCTTTTGTACCGGTACCTCCCCCATGCAGGCTTTTAAACGTATCACGAGCACAAGCAGGAACCACCAAGGCACGCATTTCTGAGAACCCTGCCCGAATTTTGGGGTATAGAATGAGAAGCTGCGGAAAAAACGGAGACGAGAAGAGGTTTTAAAAGCTCACGATGGAGGACGAAGAAGGAACCTTTTAAAAAAAACAGTCAGGTGTGAGTAAAGGTTCCAATTTCCCGATTAAATTGCCACGTGGGGGTGCAAAGGGGTGGCAATATAAAAGGGAAAGTAAAAATGATTGGGAAAGATCCTGCTGTAAGTCCGGGAGAACAGACCAAAAAAGTCAATCGGCGGAGGAAGAGCAAATGAGGATCGATGCAAGAGAGAGTATAGTCCGGGGATAAAAATGGGTGTGAGTCCCTTATTTAAAACATGGAGGGGGTGGGGGAAGAAAACCTCTAACTGAATTCCACGGAATCACAGTGAGACCCTCCCCAGAAAGGGAAAAGGGGGGCATTAAAATCACCCAAACAAAAGAAAAACGGGGGCGGGAATGACGAAACAAGGAAGGCAAAACCGGGAAAAGATAAATGCCCAGAAAGGGGAGAGAATAAAAACAGAGCGTATACCACCTAGTAAGTGGATACGGCTGTGTGTAATGCAGCGAAGTATGAACAAAAAGCTGATGGTACGGATATCAGTGCGGGAAAAAGGGGACTTTCATTAAAGGGCCCATCAGGAAAAGGTTGAAGAAACAATAAATTTGCCTGAGATGTAGAAATAAAAGCAGAAATGTAATTTTGGTTCCTTAACAACACCAACGGGGCAAACTGGAGAGTAACACAATCACCCCGATTCCCCCCGAGGCCCGTATATTCCACGTAAAAAGGCCAGATTGGGTGATAAAGATACTTGAAATCCCCCCCGGTAAGGGTTCCACGGACTAGAAGGGGTTTGAAAAAACCACATGCGGAGGCAGTGGAAAAAGTTCAAGCAGCGAAGGAAGGTGCGCTGTGAAGAAAGGAGTTGCGCAAGGAGCAGAGGAAGAGGAAGAGCGGAAGGGGATCAGTGTCCATTGATGGTTTTGGGCTCTGCAATATATTTCAGAGATTTCTTCAATGTTTCGGAAATTTAGAGATGTCTATGGGAGACAATATTGGGAATGGTAGGGGGAGGATGAGTAAAGATTGGAACTGTATTGGACTGTACCAAGGGGGGGGGGGCGAAAGGGGGAGGGAACGGAGAAGCGTGGCAGGGGACAGAAAAGACAGGAACCTGGGAGGTGGCAGAAGAGGAAGAAACTTGGGGGGGAACAGGGGGGGGGAAAGGGACATTACGAGGAGGAGGGGGAAACCTCTGCACTTGTAAAAGAGCCGTGAGAGGGGAAGAATGGGGCAGAGGGGCAGGGGGGTAAAAAAGGAGTTGGGAAGATGGGTAGAGTGTTAAGGCCTTTTTTTTTACTTTTTTGGGAAATAAAGGGGGATTGGGGGAAAGGTGTCGTACAGGTCCTCGAGCTGAGGCGTAAGAGAGAACTCAAGAAGCGAGATTTAAATGAGGCTGAAGTAGGGGGCGTCTGAGCCGAGGACAGCAAAAGGGTTAGATACGGAGTGATTTTGGGGGAGGTAACCCCCAGGGGTGGGTGTAGAAATGGGGGTACCAGAATGGGGGGACGTTTTGAAAAAACGGGGAAAAAGAAAAAAACTGGGAGTCTCCCCTTGAGGGGGGAGATGAAAACTGCCTGGGATAAGGGGGACCTTCTGTCTCTTTTAGGGGAACGGGGTTTCCCCGCTCGTTTTAAAAAGCCGAAACCCGGGAGAGTACGAAGGGGGACCCCATGACAGTTAAGGCAAGGGGAGATCGATTGCAAGAGTATTAGAATGGTCATCGGCACCACAGATGGGCATTCGGGGATAGATTGCAATATTTCGCGGGTGGCCAATCCCAGCAATTTTTACCTGTTGTGGTGTAGGGGTCACCTTTCGAACTGTAACCGATGTCCGCTTATAAACGGAGGAGGGAGTTTTGGCTGTCAAAATTAAACGACCACATTGAAAGGGGATCGTCTCCGCCCAGGGCAGGAAGAACGTAAATGTTCCTTGAGATTGGGAGATCTTGGATTCCGCGTTTAGAAAGTCGGTGCCACATGTCGGAAATTTTTTTTTTAAATATGGTAGGGGGAATAAGGGACCCTACAAGAATTGGGGAATGAGTTTTTTTAAGGGTGACAGGAACATATCTATATGGGAAAACGAGAGAGCTCACGAGCCGGGGAGCATTCTGTACGGGAAGATGCGCGTACCGCCTTAAGAGCATGAAAAGAAATATCTTTACCAACAGGCGTTGGAGTGCCTTGCCAATACTATGGGGCAGAAAGTAGGCAGTAGAGGAAGTTGGTCGTAAATGAAAATTTAGTCCCCCTGTTCATCTGAAAATGAGCTGGAAAGGTATGAAGGCGTGTCGATCGTTTTTTTGAGAAGAAAGAGAAGGTGAAGGGGGAAATAACCAGCAGGTAATTGTCGTTTACGTTTAGGCTGGGGCCAAGTTGGTCCGCGTGGAAGGGTCGGCGATTTGAAAATTGCCGCACCGTGGGAGAGGGCCCGGAAGCATAGCAGGGAAGCGAAGGTCTGATAAAATCGAAGGAGTCAGTCGAGGGCCCCAGTCCCGAAGGGGTGAGGAAACAGCACCCCCAATAGGGCAGAGGCATGAGGAATGTCTGAAGGTGGTCCCAAAACGAGGGGGGGGTCAGAAAAGGGGTGGGCCCCGGGATCAGAAGGGGGGGGGGGGGGTACCAGGGTTATGGGGAAAGGGGTGCCATGGTTTTGGTTACTTCTTTCTTTTTTTTTTTAAGAAAAAAAAAAAAAAGAAGAAAAAAAAATAAAATAAAAAAAAGAAAAAAAAAAAAGGGGGGCCGGGGGGGGTATTTTCCCAGGAGGGATGAAAGGGCCAGAAATTCCCCCCGCGCCCAAAAGGGGCTCGACACCGTGTAGGCAGGGTGCAGCAGGGAACCCCTGCCATACCCCACCCTTCATGCCATAAACCAGCAACTGGGATAGCAACCTCACATCTGCCGATACTCGGGGGGCAAAAGAGAGGGCGGCCGGGTACCGCCACAAAATCCTCCTTTAGCCCCCCCCACCCCCCCCGGGTCCGAAGGGGGCTTCCAGAGCTACACCCGTCGCCCAAAAAACACCCAAAGCTCTGGGGTACCGGGGAGGGATCGGGACCCCTAGGCAATCCCAAATTCCCCCCGGCAAACTACCCACCCCCCAAGAAACCCCAAGGAATGGGATGGACCCCCGGTGCCTTTCTCCTCCAGGAACAGCGGCCGGTGGGAAAAACCCAAAGGAACAAAAAAAGGGAAAGGGGAAAAAGGGAGGATGGGGAGGAGGAGGGGGAAAGGAAAAAGGGGAGGATGGGGGAGGAAGGGATAGGGAGGGAGATTGGGGGGTAATTTTGGTTCGGTTGGGAAAAGACCCATAGGTAAATTTCCCCTGGAACCAGGTAATGGATGGAGAAGAGGTCCACAAAGGATAAATACATAAGTATATACTACACAAGTATTGACCCTGACAGAGAGGTCACCAAAGGGAAAAAATTCAAGTGCTGAGGAGGGAGGGTGGCTGGGTATAGAGGGATGGAAGGGATAGGATAAAAAACGGTGCACAAATCTGGGGTGAAAACAGGATGGGCAGGGGAAACCATCCCAGGGGAAAAATAAAATAATAATAATATCTTTTTTTTACAAGACATGTAAAGGTATACATCCTGCTGTACAAGCATACTTGGAGGAGAAAAAAGAAGACTTCATTTTAGGAACTTGAGCATCCAGTAGGCTTATGTAAGCAGGGTAACATTTATAAGGGATTCAGGAAAATTTTTAACCCGAGCTGATTATTTATTTTTTTATTATTTTAATATGGGGGGGGTGCTAAACCCATAGGGATTATACAGCACCTGTGGGGGGAGGATGGAAGGTATTGAGGCTCAAATCAGGGAACTAGAGCACAGACCCAAATTTCCCCTAGATCAAGAGCCTCACCAGCATCAAGGAAACCTCCCTTGAGGGGAACCAGATCTGAGCCTTGGAGGTGGGAAGGGCAGTGACTGAACTCTGGAGGGGTTGGGATGTTGCAATCAGAGGGTAATGTGAATCATGATGTCGGTACACTTCTGGCAAAGAGCGATTGAATGAATGATGGTGAAGGGTGTTTCCTTTTTTTGGGTCACCCTATCTTGGTAGGAGATGGCTGATGAGGTAAAAAAAAAAAATAATTATCTTAATGTTACTCTATATTAATCCTTAAACTGTCGAAACATAGATATAAGTTGATGTGTGGCAGGCTCTGAACGTAGATCAAACGTTTTTTTTTTTACATGCTTTCAAATGGGGAAAATCAAGGTCGGTGCGCTACGCACGTGAACGTAGATCTATGTTTGGACAGTTTAAGGGTTAAAGAATAGTATACTTACCTTGAACTTTTCCATGACCTTCTTGACAGTCTGACCACGAACAAGATAATATAAACGGCTATCAATTTGAATAGTGTGTGTCACCATTTTATGCCATTCCCTAGTAAGAGCCAAAATAGCTGCATTTTCATCATGTACATTCTTCTTAAATCCTGTGATGGTGATGATATTTTTCTTTACATCACTGAAAGGAGGAAACTGAATGGTGACATTATGTTTATTCTCAATCTTTCCAATGATCCTTGGATGATATTCAGGGTCCACCTCAACCTGCAACCGAAAAGATCCTGCTTTTTGGTCTGACTCTTCTTCTTTCAATTGATGCATTTTTTCTCTTATAGCTTGCCGAGCACACTCTGTGTTGGCTGGTGAACCAGTGATCTTGATAATGTTACTCCCATACTGTGGCACAAAAATAACCACATTGTAATTTTGTCATAATTCTAAAGGCATTTTTGCCTTTCTTTCCAGTAATGAAGAGAGGAGAAATCCATAAGTAATGTTCTCTTCAACAGTAACTGGCACTAGATTTAGCAGGGCATCACGAGCAGCTTCACATCTGTCTTTCTGGCCTGTAATACGCACAATGTCTTGAGGCCTCACACCTGCCTTTTCATTAACCTTGCCATTTATTTGTCCTTGACTTTGTTTACCATTGGCAAGAGAGATACTACCTTTTTTAGGGAATCTGATTTGTACTTTAAACTTTGTGGAGAGTGCATGTACCTTACTGCCCTGGACACCCAGCAAAAAATGATGATGTTTTTGTGGGATAATTAAATTCCAAGTTCACCTCAAGATCATTCACTATCTCCATAATGCGAGCTTTTGCTCCTTGAACATACTCTCTGGCTCCTTTTATGGTAACCTGAAATATATTAAGGACACATTAAGACACATACTATCAAAGAAATACCAATTCATTTCTATTAAAAATTAAACTGAAGTCTTAAAACTGCGTTCTTGGGCTGTTTATAAAGTTTATAGTACTTGCTAAGTAATTTAAAGAAATTCACATACCCAGTACAAAAGAGCTGTACACATTTTCCACTGCAACTCTATGCAAATTATAATAAAACCTTTAGTATATTTAATCCCTTCAAGGGAATGCCATGGAACCGATTAAAGACACTTGATCAAAAAATTGGAACTACCCTTGCCCTTCATGGGATCAAATTTGATTGTCTCACATTCTCAGGCACTGAATAACCCTTAAAGGTTTAGTGCTTTCCCACAAATATAATAATACTGCACATTTAATATTAAGTATTTATTTTTTTTTAACACGGCCATTTCCCAACAAGGCACGGTGACCCAAAAAGAAAGAAAAACCCAAAAAAAGAAAGAAAAAACTTTCATCATTCAACACTTCCACCATCACTCATACATAATCAGTCTTTGCAGAGGCACTCAGGTATGAGAGTTGAGATGTCCTTCCAATATGCCAATATTCTAAACCCCTTCTTTAAATTCAAATTCAAAGTTTATTCTCTATAAGGATTACAATGCTGAGTTTACAGAATTTGGTTATTGTGTGGTTTACATGTAGTAAAATAATAATTACAGAGTGTACCACTAGAACACCTAGCATGGCTAGGCTTTTCGGACAGACTTAAATCAAATCTTAAGTTTAAAATATTACAAAATTATGAGGTAAGTTGGTATTATGGCTAAGTGACTAAATACTAGTTGTGAGTTTAGCAATGTGAATGCTTTTGTTTTGGCACTATACATAGTTTCAGTATTGGAGTATCACAGACCAACTTATGACTAGTTAAGATTCATTATTTTGAAATTGAGATTGATATTTCTGTTTATGGTCAAATGGGTGAGTGAGTGTAAGTGTTAACCACCAGGTGGTATTCATGTAATTAGTTGACAGGGTGTATCAGGGAGATAAGATGTTTTCTGATGGTAGTTTTGAAGGTGATGAATGTGTCTGCAGTTTTAGAATTTTCAGGTAGGGTGTTCCAGATTTTAGGGCCTTTGACATACATTGAATTTTTGTAAAGGTTTAGTCGGACACTGGGAATGTCATAGAGATGTTTGTGTCTGGTGTTGTGCCTGTGGGTTCTGTCACAACTATCAAGAAAGCATTTTAGGTCAAGGTTAATATTGGAATTTAAGGTCCTGTAGATGTAGATTGCACGGTAGTAAGTGTGGATGTACTAAACAGGGAGTAAGTTTAGATCTATGAAGAGTGGGGGGTTGTGTTGCCAGGGATGGGATTTAGTGATTATTCTTACTGCGGCTTTTTGTTGGGTTATTATTGGGTTTAGGTGTGTTGCTGCAGTTGAACCCCAAGCACAGATAGCATAGGTGAGGTATGGATATATAAGTGAATGGTATAATGTGAGAAGGGCATTTTGCGGCACGTAGTATCGTATCTTGGAGAGGATCCCAACCGTTTTGGATACTTTTTTGGTTATGTGTTGGATATGGGTGCTGAAGTTCAGGTTGTTGTCGAGGTATAGGCCAAGGAATTTGCCCTCATTATGCCTGGCAATTAGTGTTGTCGATCTTAATGTTAATTTGCGCATCTCCTGCTCTGCTACCAAACATAATGTAGTAGGTTTTGTCAGTGTTAAGCGTAAGCTTATTGGCTGTCATCCAAGTCGATATTTTGATCAGCTCATTAACAATGGTGTTGAGGGTGGCAAGATTAGGGTGAGAGATGACATAAGTCGTGTCGTCAGCAAAGAGAATGGGGTTCAGGTGTTGAGATACGTTTGGAAGATCATTGATGTATATGAGGAAGAGCAGGGGACCAAGGACACTTCCCATTTCAATGACTCAAGTCTGGCTAACAGGTTTCCTGAATCTGTTCACAAAATATTACCCTGCTCACACTCCAACAGCTCGTCAGTTCCCAAAAACCATTCATCCATTCACTTCCACTAACACATCATGCACACTT